AATACTTATATCTAAGAAGCATCTTTTCAATATAATGAGATTGACACAATGCATACCCCTTTGCATGTTTCTTTACTTTAATTCCTAAAATATTATCTACTTCATTAAGATCTTTCATTTTAAAGCATGAAGTTAGATACTTTTTAGTTTCATAAACACCTCTCATATTTGTTCCAAAAATTAGCAAGTCATCAACGTAAAGACGAATAATAACACCATAATCATTTGTGGATTTAGAATAAATGCATTTATCAGCATTATAATGCTTAAAATCAAATGATAGTATCACATAATCAAATTTCTCATGCCATTGCTTTGGTGTTTGTTTTAAACCATATAATGACTTTACTAATTTTCAAACTTTCCTTTCATTTCCAGATAGGACAAAACCTTTTGGTTGTTCCATATATACTTCTTCCTCAAGATCACCATTTAAAAATGTAGTTGATGCACATGTAAATGATAAATAGAAGCCAAAGCCATAAGAACTCTAATAGATGCAATTCTAGCCATGGATGCGTAAGTATCGAAATAATTAATACCTTTCTTCTGTTTAAAACCCTTGGCTACTAATTTGGCTTTAAAGGTTTGAATAGATCCATCAATATTATACTTTCTCTTAAATACCCATTTACAACTCACCGGTTTTGATCCTTATGGTAATTTAACCAAAATCCAAGTTTGGTTTGACAATAATGAATCCATTTCATCATTTATAGCCTCTTTCTAAAAAGCTACATCTCTTGAAGCCATTGCTTCAGAAAATGTTTTAGAATCATCTTCTATATTCAATAAAATGGGTATTTGATGGGGCTCATGTGTCGTCGCACTACCACCATCAAGCTTGAGAGAGAGTGTGTGGATTTTAAGGCGAGGGCCAAGAGTTTTACATTTATAAAAGCCACTACTACCTTTCACTATAAATATAGCTAAGGCGAGTAGGGATCGTCCCAATGGATTGTGGGGGTCGAACAAGGTTATGGAATCGCTATTAGGGCTAGTAGGTCGAGTGATCAAACAATTGGTTGGTTGGTTGATTAAACTAGAGAGCCTAAATTAAACTAAATAATTGAATGCAACAAAGAGTAAGTAAGAGAGAGAGGGTCTTGGGGTTTAGAGGTCACCACCAAGCAATGCATTTCTATACCATTGACAAGTGATTAATGAGGGCAAATGGTGTGTTGCAATATTGGCGTGTATGTGTGTGTTTGGTTGATTCAACAAGCAAGGATGACTAGTTAAACATGTATTGTTTAAACATCATGTGAAAGGTACAATATATCTAAGCAATGAAGCATATATTGTCTAAACAACATGTGAAAGGCACAATAGATCAAAACAAGTCATTAATCCTTTCATTAAGCTCACAATCCAAATATAACACAAGGTTAGAGACATATGCTTCTTGTATTCAAAAGCTTGAATCATCAAACAACAAGCATAGATTGTCCTCCCATTTAACACTACACTACAACTACACTACATCTATACTACTAACATGAAAATAAACTAGGGGAGAGGCACAATCCATCAAGCAATAAGTATGAACCATCAAGAAAATCACAAGAGCATTCTTTTAAGCATTATGTTTTGACAATCTCTAAATCTATAGCATTAATACACATAGACATACATCAATAACACAAGAAATAGAGGCAAACACATGAACATCTATTCTAGCATACATAGACATATGGATAGAATGAAATGATCAATTGGAAGCATTAAACCACATAAATCATTGAATAAAAAAGATCTATATATGTAAAAGTGTCAAAACATTAATTACAACACTAATCCCTCAATGATACACAAGATTAAGATATAAAAAGCATGCTTGGGGCTAACTCTAGCCCCAAGAGGATGTCTAGCCACTCATGGTGATGTTGCTCCAACCCTCAAGGGCTAACTCTATGGAAGAAATCTGCTCCTTGTTGATGAAGAACTTCAATGGTGTCTCTAGCCTCTTCCTTCTCTAAACTTGCTCCCCAAGAGATGATATGAAAATGATATATTGGCTCTCTTGTAAAAAGCAATCCTTATCCTTAAATAGGTTGGTCAAATGACACCCAAAATAAGCTGGGGTCGTGCACACAATATTCCCTAATGATTAGATAAAGGACAACTTTCAATGAAATGAAAATTTAATTTTTACGCACTGGAGGAAGTTCGATCGATCAAATCTTGGACTTGGATCGATCGAACTGGCTGAGATCCATCGAACTTAGGCTGGATCGATCCAACTGGTTGAACTTTTTAGGAAAAGACAAATCCGAGATATTTTGGGAGATATTTTTGGAAAAAGGACAAATGTGGTTAGTGGGTGGTACAGCTGTGGATAGGATCAATCATTTGAATAAGGACAAAAGTGTTCGATCGATTGAAGGGTGGTGTTGGATCGATAGAACTTTTGGACTTTATGCTTTTGGGCCAAGGCTTGGATCTATCTTGAAGTGCTGAGATCAATCATTGTTCGATTGATCGAACCTTGAAGTTGGATCGATCGAACTTTACTGCTTCCCACCTTTGGCTTCATTTGCTTCTTTCTTTCTCCACTTTGCTCCTTTCTTTGTTTAATCCCAGAATTGTTTTAATTAAGCTCTTATTTGGCTGAGTTAGCTTATTTTCATGATAAGTGCCTGAAAATGAAAATAATACGAAATCAATCTAAAACGGTAAAGTAAGATAGATAAAGGTACTAGAATGCCTAAACTTAAGGTGTTTAAATACGCACTTTTCAGCGCTCATCAGTATTTTATTAAGAACTTTATTTCTATCTCCTTCTACTAGAAATATTATAGCTTGAGATGAAATAAAATCAGTATCTAAAGCATTTTCTTTTCTAATTCTTTGACTTTTCTTACGTACAGTCATTTCATCATTTATTTTCCTTTTGTCTCTAAGAGATGCTTTAGATTCCAAATCATTAGATTTCCTTTGAATAGGTTCAAACAAAAAATCATGACAAAATTTATTTTCTATAAATTCAACATCTCTAGATTCAACAATGACATTAGAATTTAAATCTAATAGTCTATAGGATTTAGAATTTTCAACATAACCTACAAAAACACTTTTTATTCCTCTTGGACTAATTTAGTTCTCTTTGGATCAGGAATTCTATAAAAGGCTAAACACCTCGCACTCTAAGAAATTCTAAGTTTGGTTTTCTTTCTTTCCAAATCTCATAAGGTGATATATGTGTTTTTCTAGATGAAATTCTATTATGCACATGACAAGCAGTAAGTAAAGCTTCACCCCATAACTTTATAAGTAATTTAGCATTCAACAACATAGAATTAACCATATCAACAAGTGTCCTATTTTTTCTTTCTGCCAAACCATTATGTTGTGGAGTGTAAGGTGCAATTTTCTGATGTATTATTCCATGTTCTTCACAATAAGCAGAAAAATCATTAGAAAAATATTCACTACCCTTATCATTATGAAGAATTTTTATTTTATTTTCCTTTCGATTTTCAATCTCAGCCTTATAACGTTTAAACATGTCAAAAGCTTGATCTTTACTAGCCATTAGATATACATAAGTAAATCTGGAACAATCGTTAATAAAAGTTATAAAATATCTTTTTCCTCCTCTAGTTAATTTTCATTTAATTCACAAATGTCAAAATGAATTATTTCTAATAGTTATGAATTTTGACTGGCTTTAGGAAAAGGTTTCTTAGTTATTTTTGATTCAATGCAAATTTCACATTTATCATTACAATCATCACTACAAGAAATAAAACCATGCTTTGACATATACTTTAAAGATCTAAAATTTAAATGTGCTAAATGTGCATGCCAAATAGAAGAAGAATAAACAATATAAGTAAAATGACTTATTTTGTTAAAACTTAGTTTAATCATTCTATCACAAGCATAACCCTTCCCAACAAAAATTTTGTTCTTAGACAGAATTAACTTATCAGCTGCCTCTAACATAGTTTTAATGCTACTCTTACACAATAAATTTGCAGGTACAAGATTTTTTTTCTAATTTCTGGGAAATAAAGAATATTTTGCAATGTCAACTTCTTTCTTGAAGTAAATTGAATTTCGACATTCCCTTTTCCTAAAACTTTGGCAGAGTTGTGATTTCCCATCAGAACTTCTTGATCATCTACAGATTCATAAGTTTTGTAATGTGATTTATCATTACAAACATGGATAGTAGCCCCAGAATCAAGCCACCAATCTGAAGACTTAGTTGCTGTTGTCATGTTCAACTCAGTTATCATGCCAATTTGTATTGTAGACACCATAGCAACAAGATCTGAAATCTTCTCTTCCATTACATTAACATTGTTAGCATTCTCTTTCTTTTCATACATTTTGTACCTGTAATCACGAATAAAATGTCCTTTCTTTCCACAATGGAAACATGGTCCAGAAGGAATTTTATTCTTATAAGGATGATTCCTTTTGAAAGTCCCTTTATTTTTCAACTTGAGGCTTTTCTGATATTTATTTGATTTGCCACCATCCACATAATTCACTTTGGAAGAATCTTCAACAGAATATTTCTTATCACAAATTCGAGCTTCTTCTTCAATTCGCAAATGCTTCTGTATTTCTTCCAAAGTAAAAGCACGGTTTCCACAATCAGAACTGTTCTTGTTGATGCAGAGGAGAAGCAAGACACTAACAAAGAGGTTGCCGACTGGCTCAAAAAGCTTAATGATGCATTTCATGATGTTGATGATGTGCTTGATGACTTCTCCACTCATGTTTTTTAACACCAGGTTACGACTCAAAACATAAGGCTAAAGAAGGTACGCAATTTCTTCTCATTCTCAAATCAAGTTGCTTTCAGTAGTAAGTTGGCTCATGATATCAAGGCCATTAATGAAAAACTAGATGCAATTACCAAAAATAGGATAAAGTTTTAACTCAATGAACGGCCTATAAATCAAGTACGGGTAGAGAATACTAAGAGGGAGGAGACTCACTCTCTTGTTCATGTAGGAAATGTTATTGGGAGGGATGGTGATAAAATGACAATTGTACAACTTTTATTGGATAGCAACATTCAAGTGGAGAATGTGTCAATTGTTGCATTAGTTGGAATTGGGGGACTAGGAAAGATCACACTTGCACAATTAGTATATAACAACGAGAATGTCACTAAACATTTTGATTTTAAGATGTGGGTATGCGTGTCCGACATCTTTGATGTGAAGCTCATTGCAGAAAAGATCACAGGGTCTGCAAAAGGCAAAATGCCTGAAAATCTTTTGATGGATAAACTGCAAGAAATGCTTAGTAAAGAAATCGATGGAAAGAAATATTTGCTTGTATTGGATGATGTGTGGAATGAGAATCGTGACGAATGGTTAAAATTGATAGATTTGTTGATGGGTGGATCGAGAGGAAGTAAGATCTTAGTAACAAGTCATGCTGAGTTATTTGCAAATGTTACATGGGCAAATTCACTATATTTTATAAAAGGCTTGTCTAAGGAGGAGTCTTGGTAATTATTTGAGAAAATGGCATTCAAACCGATGAAAGAGTCACATAATATATTTTAAGTAACAATTGGCAAGGAAATTGTGCAGAAGTGTAAAGGAGTCCCTTTTGCCATAAGGGCTATAGGAAGCCTACTATACACTAAAGATACAGTTGATGAATGGTTGCTTTTCAAAAATAAGGACTTGTCAAAAATAGCTGAAGAAGAGGATGTCATTTTGCCAATACTAAAGTTGAGGTATGATTGCCTTCCTTTATATCTGAAAAGATACTTTGCATTTTGTTCTTTATATTTGAAAGATAAAAAAATTTATAAGCAACAATTAATCCAATTTTGGATTGCAAAGGGATTCATTTAGTCAGGGTATGAAAATCAACAGTTGGAGGATGTTGGTAATTTGTATTTTATGGATTTACTAAGGAAGTCTCTCTTTCAAGATGTTGAAATAGATAAATGGGGTGATATAATAAGTTGCAAAATGCATGATCTTGTCCACGACCTTGCACTCTCAGTTGGAAGGGCCAGATTTTCCATGGTGAATATAAATGTAGAAAATGTTAGTGAAATAACTCAACATGTGTCATTTGATTCTGATGTACATTTATCACAAATTTTTTTAACCCGTTTGGTTAGAACTAAAAAGTCATGGACATTTATTGTGAATGCTGAAAAGGTTAATTTTTTTTTATAAATTAGTTTTCGAAGGGATTGTTTCAACTTTTAAAAGGTTTCGTGTATTGGATTTGCATCGCTTATGGATTGAAATTGTGCCGAGTCACATAAGTAAGATGAAACATTTAAGGTATCCTGATCCAAGTGAAAATTATTGTATCAAGACTTTGCCAAGTTCAATAACCATGTTGCAAAATTTGCAGACCTTAAAACTCAACCGATGCCGGGGTCTTAAAGAATTGCCAAGAGATTTTAGAAAATTAGTGAGCCTTAGACATCTTGAGCTTGATGAATGTGCTTCCTTGACTAGCATGCCATATGAATTGGGTGAGTTGACATCTCTTTTAACATTAACATTGTTTGCAACAGATTCAAATAGCTGACTGAGTGAATTACAATGTCTAAGCAATCTATGGGGAATGTTAAGAATTGCATTTCGAATTAGGGATTCAGGTGGCCATAGGTGTTTACAAAAAACAACAACACAGGGAATAATCGAGGGGACCAAATACTTGAGGACCATAGGTGTTAAGTCGCTAGTATTAGATGAGGAAGAGTTATCGTTGGAAGTGCTAGGATTTATATACCCTGTCATAGCGAATTCCTATTTAGATTAAAGTGATATATGTTCCTGATGTATCTAAAATATTTATGCTTTATACAATTGGTGAATTCAATGTATTTTGTTTCGATTCATTATGGAATTGATAGTGTCCATTTGATTACAAGATATATATATATATATATATATATATATATATATATATATATATGTGTGTGTGTGTGATGGCGATCAATACATGAATATAAATAGTAATCATAAATTGTTCATAGTCGATAATTATGGATGAACTCATAATTAATTAAGACTTGAACTGGATCCGTGTTAGGTTGAGATATATTGCGAGAGCCGTCGTATGCAATTGCTCCCTATCACTGTCATGGCATTTGACTCTTAAGCGTGAGAGAAGTATAAATTCTTTTATTAATTAGTAATTACTTTGATTTGTTCGGCGGAATCTTCAGAATCCTTAGACCGACACTTTGGGTAATTATGTAATTAATAGTTAGAGGGTTATATTTTCAATATTTGCATCATTGCTACTTGTATTTATTTTGTATTGATTATGGTTGATCACAAAGTAAATTCGAAGGCCTTCGTGTGTTTTTAAACAAAATGATTTATTATATATTTGTTTATTTAAATTATTATTTTTGTCAAATAAATGTTTTATTGTGATCGAGTCAGAAATAATTAAATGTACCAAAATAAATATATTAATTGAGTAGTCGGATTGATGGCTTTATTTATCCGATAACTAATTATGCACAGAGGGGTCAAAGTGCAACATTGACTTAGACGTTATTTATTATTTAATTGAAGTTCAATTAATTTCTTTTAGTGGGGTAGAAATTAATTAATGAATTAATTTAATAATTAATGAATTAATTTAATTGGGTCCATAGACCGGGCCAATTATTAATTCATTGTAGCCAAGAAAATAATAAGCCCAATAGGATTCTCCCTCATAGCCCAACTTGATATTGGAATCCCATTAGATTTGAGATATGTGAATTAAAGATGGAGAATGATTTATGGTTTTCTTTTCTGATTTTTATGTTGTCTATATATACATGGGTTCATGTATATTTTAGGTGAAACTTTTTGAAAAGAAAAAGGAATATATATATTTTTTCTCTCTAGATTTTAGGGTTTGCTTTCTCATCTAATGGAGACTCCCACAAGCCTATTTTTTCCAAGGTCATTCATGAATGCTTATGAATGATTCCTAAAGGCAAGACTATTACTAAGAAAATAGAGATCCATGGAAAAGGTGTCTAGCAAAGGGATCTACAATAAGTGAGAACATTCACTTTAGAGGAGAGATCTAAGGTTTACTCAAACCTTTAATGTAAGTATTTAATCTTTTAATTGAATGATACATCATATTTTATTTTTTTGTAAAACTTGTCTCTATGTGATGAATCAAGATCTATGTATGAAAATCCCTCAATTTTTTTTAAAACTTGCACGTTTCCCAACAGTGGTATCAGAGTATGGTTTGATTCATTACTAGAGATCATGTTTTTATGAAAATCATCATTCATGGATCCAAATTTAAATATGCATATGTATATATTATTATATGATTATGATGTATGTATATTTGTGATTGGATTATGTTGATGTATGTTTGGGCCATGAATGAAGCTTATAGGTTATTTGAATGTAATTTTATCTTTGGATGAAAGTAATTAAGGCTTTGATTTAGTCGTTTGAAAGTTCAATGATGTAATTTAATTTTTTTCATTGTATTTCAAATTGTAAATATTATTAAAGCCATGTAATATTTATCAAATGATGTTATTAAGCTTCAAGAAGGTCCAAGAAGGTTTAATTTGGCTTTAGGAATTTTCTAGAGTTTTTTAGAATTTTTTTACAATTTTTCTTGAATTTTTTGGGCCAAATTATAATTTCTGGGAATTTTTACTAATTTTCTGGAATTTTTCGGCGATTTTTCAGCAATCGGAGTTTCACCGGCTGTAAGAGTCATTGTCGGCAGAGGAAACGATCCAGTGCATCGTGGTACGCAATATTACCATGCAACCATCCATAACCGCTGGATTAAATCAAGAAGAGAGTTTTGATCCGGTGTGGCAGCTCCTAAAGTGCGCCCAAGGCGCACCCCATCCAAATAGCGCGTGAGGAGCACGCGCAATGAAGCCGGCAGCAAGTCAGTGCCTCAGGCGCCTAAAGTACATGCGCTGACCAAGTCAGCGCCTCAGGGCGTGTGAAGAGCACGTGCCGATTGAATGCAGCGCCATCAAATGCGTCATGGCGCGTGGAATGCGCTGCGTACTCCTGTACGCGAGTGGGGGCGCGTAAAAGGCACCATTAACTCCTTCCAGCACGCGCAGGCACGTGGGAGCGCGTGGCACCCGCTGGGAACCTTCCTGAGCACGTGCATGCGTGTGGGATGTGTTTTAAGGCATCCAATAATGTCCGGTGACGCGTAGGGTCGTGTTACAACCTCCTGAAAGTGTACACAAGCCTTTGATAGACCCTCGTGCAATACTTAGAATAATTAAATGTTAAAAGCTAAATCCATTGGCCATTTAATTTGCTTTATCTGTCATTTATTTATTTATGTGATACATGAAATAATTAATTGCTAATTATTATTGTTCATGCATTAGATTCATGATTTTATCTAAATGGCTTGATTGATATTAATTAAATTATAAAGATAAATCGAATTTGATTGCTAATTAGTTTGAGGACGTTTATTGGGAAATGAAAAAAAAAAATTTGTAAATTATTTTAAAATAATGCCTCAAATTAAATATTAGTGAATCATTTAAAGTCCAAATATTTTCTAAATTTAATTGGATTAAGATCAAAGCGTTTTGCATGCATTATATCATGGATATGAATAAATGAAAAACCCTAATTATAAATGATTAAAAATTGAATGGGAGCGGGGATTTTTATACATTACCCCACGGCCTTCGTTATTATAACCATTGCAATTAGATCTTCAAAAATAAGGCCCTACGCATGATTTGAAGAGTCTAAAAATTACAAGAATGGTTGTCTCATGAAAATAAAAATTAAATGTTCATTTTAATTATATCTTCAAAAACAAGACCATACGCATGATTTAAAGAGTCTAGATTATAATGACAAGATATTTAATGTTTTATTTTTCGTTGGAGTATTAATAACGTTATACACTCAATCTAAAATCAATAGTGTTAGCTCCCCAACGGAGTGGTCTACACTAGGTGATTTTAGAAAGGCTAAACATTATCAGAAATCATTTTATATATAGATAAGGCATTGTCTTAAGAGATATGGAAATGATGTGATTTGCCCGCCAATAGTAATAATGAATTTCGCCAACCGAATAAGTTATTGGCGTATTGGTTATCCGATTTTTCATACAGTGGTTAAGGGACCCACATATTATTTTAATGGAAGTGCTCGCCTAATAGCAAATGAATCTCAATAATAGTAATAATGAACTCCTCCATCAGGATAAGTTATTGACGTATTGATTGTGTGATTTATTATGCTACGAAGTTGAGGAACCCACATTAATTAAAAGAGATTGTTCACTAATAATGATAATGATCTCTTATCCTATTTGAGATTTATTATATTATGTGGTTAACAAACTCATTTTAATTTTAAAAATGCATGATAGTATTAATAATTCACCTTGCATATTGTATGACTGCATTTATATTCAGATTAATTATGTCTAATCTATTTAATCTGTTTGCTAACATATTTAATGTTATTGGACCTTATTTATATTGACTGAAAAAAGA